TAATATTTTATATTATTACACATTATTTAAATAAAAATAACATATAAAAAAGAATAATAATAATAATAATAATAATAATAAATAATAATAATAATAATAATAATAATAATAATAATAATAATAATAATAATAATAATAATAATAATAATAATAATAATAATAATAATAATAATAATAATAATAATAATAATAGTAATAATAGTAATAATAATAATAATAATAGTAATAATAATAATAATAATAATAATAATAATAATAATAATAATAATAATAATAATAATAATAATAATAATAATAATAATAATAATAATAATAATAATAATAATAATAATAATAATAATAATAATAATAATAATAATAATAATAATAATAATAATAATAATATATACATACATACATATATACACACCTAAATACGCAACTCACGGATTTTCTCAATACTCCATCTGCCGAGCCCGATAACCGTCCAACATCTTCATCTGCAATACCAATCGTCATCGAACTTCTACTATTTTCCTGCAGTACAAGTAGACATGGCCATGGGCCGGTTTTTGGCTCGGAACCGTCACGAACCGTTGACCGGTGAACCGGTCCGTCGTCCCCGGGACGGGCTCGGTTCTATGAGTAGGTGAACCGTGAACCGCCGGGCTGGGCCGGCGGTTCACGCGAATTTAAAAAAGCTTAAAAAACCTGAATCGGCCGTTATTTGCTATTTTTTTAATTCCCTCCCCCCCATTTTATTCTATAAATACCCTCACACCCATTTTTTTTAGGGAAAATGAGGGATAACCCCCTAGTTTTGAAAATATATAGTGATATGTCCTATAGATTTTTCTTCCCTAGACAAAAACCCAAATTTTAATCTTAATTTGATAGACACCCTTGAACAAATTGAAGTACTTGTTTTGCCCTTTTAGTAATAATTTAAAACCCTAACCCTCAATCTCTCGACTCACGCTCTCTTCTCTCTCTCCCTCCTTCCACCGCCGTTTTCTCTTCTCTCTCTCAAAACTCTCGTTTTCTTCTCTCTCTCGCCTTCCACCGCTGCTTCGCTGTCGCATGCGCAATCTCCGCAGTTTTAATGACGTTAACTACAAACGCGACAGAGCATAAGGAATCAAGGAAGAGAGAGAGAGAACATAAAATAGAAGTAGAAATCAGGATGAAGCGATGCCTCGTCACGGTGGAGAAGACAATCGCAGGAAATCGTCTCCGTACGATTCGTCGAGAGATCGACGCTCGAGTCACCACAAGGTTCACTTTTTCCATTTTCATCTCACTCAGAATTTGTTTCTCTCTGGCAATCAATTGCAGCATATAAATTCAAAATTGATTTCGCATCTGTGGTTTCTAATTGGTGAAGATTATTGAGAAATGATTTTTGTGTTCATTGTGGTAACTTTTCTGTTTGATGTTTAGATAAATTTTAACCATAACAGAGTGTATAGAAATGTTTACCGAGTGTATGGCAATAAGTTTGGGCAACATTCAATAATATAGAAATGATTATACTATTGAACTTTACTATGCATGATCATATTTATATGTAGTAACATAAAGTAACATATGCATCTGGTGTGGATTTTCAATCGATATTGCAATATAAATTGTTATTATATGTAAAATTCGGTTTTTTTTATAATTAAAATTGATTCTCACTTTTTATTATCTGATATTATTTGTCATCTCATTAATTCAGTTTCAAGAACATACAACAAATCAAATGATTTTATGTGATAGAATTTCACTACAGTAAGTAAATATATATTTTTTCAACCACATTGCTATATTCATCATCTTATATAGATTCAATTCTAAAGTTTTTGGTGGTGTAGATAAATTTTATTTATATACATATATAGTCACATGTGGTCATGTACGTGTAGTCATATATAGTTACATATAGTAACAAGATGAACATAACTACATGTGACTATAGTTGACTACATGTAGTCATATCTAGTCATATGCAGTAACAATGCACATAACTACTTGTGACTATAATTCACCAAATAAATTTATCAAAAAAATGTCTTTCATTTTTATTTATTTTTTGTTGTATTTTTTCATGTAGTGTAATTCGCTTGTTCCATTTTGTTCTTCGTTTTCTTTAACTTGTATTTTTTTGTTACAGGTTTTGCTTTGTATAACATTATGAGATGCAAAGAATAAGATGCACAGAAGTGCCATGTGAAGTTGCATTCATGCTACAATACTCCAGACTTATGCCACTTATATAACTATAGATAATTGTAGATAACTATAGTCACTTGTAGTAACATATAGTTATACGTATGTTATGTGTTTTTCAATGTATAGTAATGCGTGTTAATGTTTTGAAGATTCTATGCATGTGATTGTGTTTTTTAATTTTTTTTTTCTTTTGGGTTAGTTGATTTATAATATCAAGATTAAAATTGTGAATTTTGTTGTTGGTGTAGATTATTTTTGGGGTAAAAAGACATTACATAATTGCATATGACTATATGTGACTGTGGTATACTATAGTTAGGTGTAGTATACTATAGTCATGTATAGTCAATTTCAGTACAATAAATTTATCAAAAAAATTAAAACAAAATTTAAAAAAAAAAATTAAAAAAAAATTTAAAAAAAATTAAAAAAATTAAAAAAATTAAAAATTAAAAAAAAAATTAAAATATAAAAAAAATAAAAAAATGGGTATGTATAAAAAAATAATAATAAAATAAACATTTATATTTTTTTATTTAAAAAAATCTATAAAAATGATAAATGCAGCCCAAAAATGCTAAATGCAGTTGGGTATTATGCTGAATGCAGGGGCGAAAATACTGAGTGCAGTTGGGCGGAAATTGAACTTAAGGGCACAATAATACTTTTACCTCTCCAGGGGTTATCTCAAAGGAAGAATTTTAGGGGTGGACCTATCCCTATATATTTTTCATATGAGGGGTGTATATCCAATGGACCCTATAAAATTAAGTTAAAGTCATTTTATTTATTCTTTTGTTTTTTTCCTATTTAAAAGTAATTATTTTAATTTATTTATTCATTAAGTATTTTTTTAAAAAAATATATATATATAAATCTAAATTTTCGGGCCGACCCGGAACCGGCTCGGATAGGCCAGGAACCGGAGTGAACCAGCGGGCCGACTCGGCCCGCCGAACCGTGTGTAGTACGGGCCCGTTCCGGTTCCGGAAAAAATGAACCGTGAACCGGCTCGAACCAGCCCATGGCCGTGTCTAAGTACAAGCACATTTAATTTGTACTCTCTAATTAGTAGTTAGTACGTACATCACACAACTACTATATATATACATGTATATATGTATGTATGTATGTATGTATGTATAAGAGCAACTCCAATGGGGTTACCAAATTGAGTATTCAAACATTTAACCCCCATTTACATACTTAAAAATAAAAATCTTTAACTCCAATGGAGTTATCAAATGAGGTTTCCATTTTGATAATTCACATTTTGGGTTGTAAAAATACTTGCTGGAAATTGAGTTATCAAAAATGTAACCTCCTAACCATCCAATCAGAAGTTGACATGTGGCAATTACAAATAAAACCACCAATAAACTTTCAATTGATAATTAATTTGATAACCATGGTTGGTCTAGATGAATTTTAAAATAATATTAAAATAATTCTGAAATATCAAATGAGTATTTGATAACTCAATTTTGATATCTAGCATTGGAGTTGCTCTAAGATATAGCTTTAGTGGTAAAAAATAACTTATAAATTGAAACATGAAAACAGAGATATTACCTCCAAACAGCCTGTGCACATTGGGTCCATATTTCATGTCATTACACCTAATGGCTGGAAAACAAGATATTTTTTTCACGAACAATTAAAAATCGAACAATCGATCAGAAAAAAAAAAAGATTTGAGTTTAATATTTACGAAGCAAATGTTGAATATTTCATCTTAAGAAGAAAGTAGCATATATAATTTAGACGCGATCAAACAATTATCTCTACAATTAATATGTTTTACACGCGATCAAACATTCGGAAAGCAATTTTTAAAATTTATGCTTATTATCTCGAAAAAAATTATTTAAAGAAAGCCATTTTTAGTTTACCTCATCCAGCAATGTAGCTAGAGATCAAAAACAGTTGAGTCCTAACTCCCAAGTCCTAATCAAAATATTCACTTCTTGATAGTTAGTTAAGTACTCGTTACTCGGGTGAAAAAACAGAGCGGGTACAAGGATCTCGTGCCAAAACATAAAGCAGCAACCGTAAATTTGATTAGATAAACGGGAGATTATGTTATCCCTTGAGAAACAGTAATAAACTTGCTAATGACAATAAACCAATCCAATTTGAACTTTCTTACAGATTTGATATGTGTCTTATAATGGTCAAAAAAAAAATATGTGTCTTAAGAGCATCTCCGACCGGTTTTATCATTTTTTGACCAAATCCCATTTATAGTGGTGAAAAAATGGGTTCATCTCCCACCGATAGCACACCATTTTACTCCACCATTTTTTGTGGAAAAATGGTATTTTTGGTCTCCAATAGGTTTCACCAAAATTTAGACCAAATATTAAAATAATAATATTTCACTATTTCACCACTTATAGGAAATGTGATTTGGTTTGGTCTCCCATGGCATTTCACCATATATGCACCAAAAATGTAAATCTAATGTTAATCGTAATTTTATAATATTTTATTTCATAAATATTAATTATAGATCCAATGCTAAGTAATAAATTTTCTTAACTATATAATTTACAAATTATGTTATCGTTCTATTAAATGTCTATAAATGTCTCGTCCTGTATTTCATCAATTGCAGTGTGTTTCGTTAATCATTTTAGGGATAATTAGCAAGAACCCCCAATCTAGGAAATGTAGTTAAGAAAACACCTCCTCCAAAAAATAATTAGAGAAAACTCCTTTCCCTTTCAAACAACCCTCCTAATAAGTTTCTTCTCTCCCTTATTTTTTCTTCTCTTCTCTTCTTTCTCACACGACACAGCGCCAATGATTTTTTCCTCTCCTCTCTTATTTTTTCCTCTCTTCTCTTCTTCTCTTCTTCTCTTCTTGCTGAATTTTTCAAAATCTTTAGATCCCATTATTTTACTTCGTAGATGGGGTGGTATTTTATACATTTTTATTTCAGCCAGGGGAGGCAAACAAAGAAGAGCCACCTGTGAGAAATCTTGTAAGTATATTATTCTCATCACCATTCTCTTCACGGAAAATTAATTTTCCGTTGCATTTGGTTACTAATTTTTGGGCTTTTTTAGGTCAACCAAATAGCTCATTGTCTATACATATGGTTAGGTGGCCTGGTGGACTTCCTCCCATGGGGTATGAAACGATTGCATATCGTGTTTCTATGCTCCTTGTTTTTTCAATGGAATAAAAAAAAATTAGATTTATTATTAAGCTCTGATGGTGTGGTATGGTGACAATGTCATGATGATGGAGAGCATATTTAGGATTTTTTTGATAGATTGGGCGGATGACGGAGGGGCAGAAAAATCCGTGTACGTTGGATCCTCAGTCGACTATGTTCATAGTCGATTAAGGCTAATCGATTTTAATTTTTTTTTTTTGATTTTTTGTGTTTTGTTCCGATTTGTATCAATCACTTATTTTTACATATTTTTTATTTTTGTAAAATATAGTTGATTTTGCATTTTTTTGTAGTTGTGATCTGTTACTTTTAGTAGCAGATTCTTAATCGACTATGCTTCATCGTAGTCGATTAAGTTTGTGTTGGGAGAATTGCTCTAGTAATTTCCTTATTTCCTTCACTTTTTAGTTGTTTTTGCTCGGCTATAGAGTTGGGGAATTTGAACGATCGCTTTTTTGTTTCTTTTACAATTTTTTGTTTCTTGTTGCTCGACTTGAGAATTTTGATTGTCGATGTTAGAGATGCCAGATTTTCTGCATTTCTTCTGATATTCAGACTCAATTAAGGATTTAGAAAGATAGAAGAACTAATGCATAGAGTTCTATAACTGAATTTCAGATGGAGGAGCAAAATAATTTATCAATTGTTATTAAAAATCAAAGATTAACCAAGTAAAAATGGAAACTGAAAAATAAAAAATTGAGTTTTGAGCCCAGATGGACCAATTGAATTTTTTATCGAATTATCCGAAGAATTTTGCTCATATTTTGATAAACTCAATTTGTTTTTTTTTTTTTTTTTTTTGAGTAGTATTGTAAGATAATAATATGTTAGAATGGAGAAATTCATATATGTTTTTTTTATGATTTATGAAGTACTATATATTAAGAAAAAATTCATGTTAGATAATTGTAGAGGGGTAAAGAGTTTGAGAGAGAATAGGGACCAGAGCATTGTGTTGCTTGTGGAGGAAATTTGATGTGATGCTAGGTGATGGCTACCTCATGATTATTTAATTTTAAATCAATGTAGTTGTTCAAGTATCATTTCTTCGTACTTCTATTTATTATATAATTTATAATTATGGCTTTTGAATTTGCAGATTTTTCTTGCAAGAGGTGTTAATAGTGTATCAAAAAACTGCAATGGATAACACTATGTAGATAAATTGTTCTCTCTAACATTGATTATGTAACTTTATGTGTGTACCACCTTATATTTTGTATAGTTGTGTCAATATATTTTTGTCCGATGACGAATTGCCTTTTCTCTCTCTACAAACAGGCACAAAAAGTTTGTTTGACCGAGATAAGATGTGTTGTGCACGATTTCTCTCTACAAAGCAGGCACATTGCGATTGAGTTTGTCTGGCGGGAATAAGATGCGCTGTGCAAGGTGACGAGCTGGTGATTCATTATAGCTTGCTAATGATATTAACAGTGGCATTATTTTGCTCATATTTACTTGGGAAAACTTTTGTGTGTGTGTTTGGAGGACATTATTCATGGAACTAGAGATTTAACAATTTTTAGTATTTCATTGGGCTATTGAACTCTCTTGTAGTTGAAGCTCTTGATTAATTCATATTTATATTACTTGAGTGATTCTTCGAAAAGAGTTATTTCGAAATGATATTTTCCTTGTCTTGGTATGTTGCTGTCTAATTTGTAGAAAGAGAAGGGTGAATATTACGGTTCCTACAAAATTCTATTTTCTGTATATTTGTGGTTTGGAATGTTTTCGATCTTGCAAGTCTGGCATGTGTGCACTGCAGCTCGTGAGTATATGCTAATGGTATGTTCAGATTAACAATAGCATGAATCATGCCAAGAATAATCCCGATGGCTAAATTATTACTTATTTCCTAGACAATTATGTCAAGCGACATAAATATTGCACAAGTTGGAAAAAAATCCCTCTTGGTGAAAAATAATATGAAACAGGTTGCAAAACGTTATATTTGCGTAATTAAAACATAATTAAACAGTAAACAAAAAATTGGTCGGTGAACCTGGCGGTGTGGTCGATGGCGTTCTAACAAAATTAAACGTCAAGACTCTCACGGACACAAAATATGAAGATGGTGAGAGGATGTGCAGAGAGGATAGATGATGATGGTTTCATCGATATATGGGGTAAAAATATTGATTTTGAATTAAAATTCATATAATTTATAATTAAGTTTTTAATTTAAATGAAGGGTTATTATGTAATTTTCCACTTCACCCATGTATTGGCGCATTTTTATTGGTGGATTATGATCCGAGAAGTACAACCCTCTCGAACCCTAGACAACCCCTAGTAAGATCTATTATACAAGTAATTAGTTTAGACTTTAGAGCACCCGCACCCAACCATAAAATGTACATTGTAACACAGTTATTATAACCCCTAGTAAGATCTATTATACAAGTAATTAGTTTAGACTTTAGAGCACCCGCACCCAACCATAAAATGTACATTGTAACACAGTTATTATTTGTTGAGTATAAAAAAAATTAGTTATTATAATTATTATTGTCATATGTGCATCTATTTATATTTTTATATGTTGTTAATTTAAATGAGTTGCTTCTTGAATCTCATTAACCTAAACTGTGATAAATAAATGGGATTATCATTCAAACCCAATAACCTCATATAGATGAATTGAGCTGTGATAAATAAATGGGACAATCAATTTCTTTTAAAATAAATAAATAATAATAAAACAAACGCAGGAATATCAAATCATTAAACTTGGTCCAAAGAGGTGCAATTTCTTGTTTTACAAACAAAAACATGCAAGGGAGAAAACCAAAATACAAGATTCTAGTTCCTTATGCAATGTCTAGTTCCCGTATTTTCCGGGCACGGAAAATAGATAATGCCGCATTTTAGGGTCTTACAAATAAATAAATTACTCAAATGTCACAAACTTCCACAAGTGAGTTCCGAATTCGAAAGTCTTAAATCGTAATTTCAAGAAACAGCAACGGTTCACTTCTTGCCACCTTGTGGGGAATTGAGATCGTGAAGGTTCAGTAACAAGTCGTCGGAGGTCAAGTAAACCTTGTTGTTTGAAGCCGCAACTGTTCGTGCAATTTCCTGGGACGCTTCGATTTTCCTGAGTGTAATAAATGCCGGGTTGTTCGCAATAGCTTGACCAATCAGCTGTGCACTCTTCGCCTCTCCCTGTTTGCCCGAAAAAAAAAGATAATTAAAGTAAAATTGCCCGAAATTAAGCCGATAAGAAATGACAGTTGACAATACTGCAGTAGTTATTTTACCTGTGCTCGAATTATGGCACTTTGTTTGTCTTGCTCTGCTTTTTCGACCACAAACTTGGCCCTCTCGGCTTCTTGTGCCGCCACCTGTTTGGCTTCAATCGCAGCGGTGAATTCCCTACCGAAGGTCAAGCTGGTGATTGACACGTCGTCCAATGCAATGTTGAACGAGGCAGCTCTTTCTGTCAATAGTTTCCGAATTTCCCTACTCACATTCTGTCATAAGTAAATATCGATCAATAATAATTCCATCGCATCGTGAATTTCAAATTGGATAAACTCCTTCGAACAACATGTGAATTATCATGGTGAAGGCAATTAAACATTCAGCCAATATGTATCCAAACAAACATGTATGTATGCTCAAGTACGGTCATAATAAGGCTCTAATATCATGTACTTTTCCCTAAACAGAACACTAAAATTATACTTTGTGAAGAAATAAAAAATTATTAAGGGGGTCAAATTCAAGATTCATAAAATAAATCACTCACAGAGCAAATATATATGGGGACGCCTAAAAAAAATACCGTTTATTTCTAACTTCACCAACATAAAAATAGAAAATAAATAGGTAACGACATTAATACCCTTAATAAAATCAATACCACACAATTTTTGTGTGGTATTGATTTTCATAAAGGGTAATAATGTCATTACCTATTTATTATCTATTTATTTTTTATTTTTTATGTTCGTGGTATTGAAGTGAGAAATAAACGGTATTTGTTTTAGCCGCTCCCAATATATATCTAACGTGTTCGATATGATGTAACTGCATAAACAATGCATACTTGTAAAGATCAATACTTCCATTAAAAAAAACATTTCAATGTGCTCAAGACGTACCTCTCTCTGGGTGAGAAGTTGGCTAGCGTTGAACTGGGCGACCACAGCTTTGAGAGTCTCGTGAATAATAGACGGCAGTACTCTCTCGTTGTAATTTTCACCAAGAGTTCTATAAACAGTTGGCAACTGGTCCGGAATAGGACGGGTGAGAACACGAAGACCAATTTTTACCTGCAAAAATCAATTAATTAGAAAATTTTCGAGTGAGAACATGAAGACCAATTTTTACCTGCAAAAATCAATTAATTAGAAAATTTTGTTGTCAAGCTTACAGCAGAGCATGAAGGCAAACAAAATTATTTTGTAACTCGGATGGATATTCATTTCAAAGAAAAAAACCCAGAAAATATCAAACTCGTTCTGAGTTTTACGAGAAAGTGCGAGGGATGTGAGATTTACCATCTGAAGGTCACGACTTCCAGAAGTGCTCTCGACCAAGTGGGGTCGTGCACGAACATCGTAAATGACTGGCCTTTCAAACCATGGGATCATAAAATGCGTTCCTTCGGGATACACCTGCATATTCAGCATATACGAAGAAAAAAACCGTGTCAACGTATCTCGAAAAGACGTACATACTTGAGTGCAAGTGTAGTGTGTACACCAGTACAGTTTCTATACATGTCATTCAACCATGTAATAAATAGTCAGTCAAGTTGTTTATGAACCATCAACTGGAAATCGGAAAAAGACATGTTGTTAACACAACAGCAAGGAGTAGAAAAAATCGAGCAGGTCAAAACATTTTCATCCCTTGAGTACACCGCATAACAGAATTTAAATACTCCTAAATGAAATGAAGTACCTGAATTTGTACTAAGCAACAACCGTAACAAATAGCAAGCAACTACCTCAACAGCAATAAATTGTGCACAACTTCACACTTAATTTAGGATAAGTTACACAAAAAAAAAAAAAAAACGAGAATACAGCGATCTACATATATCGAGCTTCACCTCTTCCTCAAATTTAGCTAATTACCAATATTCAGAATTGAATTGCCGAAACTAGTACTCGAGTCGCCAGAGCAATAAACACATCAGAAAATCAATTAAAATATCAGGTCAACTAGGGCAAGAACAAAACCTTATCCTTAATGCCGACGATACGGTTGAAAACAATTGCTCGGTGACCACCCTCGACATTGTAGAGACTGTTGCCGATTCCGTAAATGCCGAGCCCCGCAACAATTCCCAGCTTGATTAACGCGGAAGCTGCACCCCCACTGGGCATATTCGGCATCTTAACATTGTTCAGATTCATCTTCTTCTACAACACACTGCGCACAATAATTAAAACTGCAATTTAATAAATTAGGTCAAAATATTCCCATCTCAATAACTTTCAGCTGTCGAACACAAAAAACGACACCGTTACACAACAATATTCTACTCTAACCCATTGAATTTTAAGATTCACCGAACCTAAGATAAAAATCACTACACGCAGCCGAAGAAATAAATAGAGAAAATGAAGCCCCAAATTATAACTCTGATTAAATTCGCGGAACCTCCATTCTTTATGCTGCAAATTAGAAACACGAATGATGAAAAAGAGTGGATTCACATACCTTGGGGAGAGAGAAAGAGATTTAGGAGAGAGATTCAGACTAAAAAATTGAAACTTGACGCGGAGGAAAGGAATGAAAGAAATCGGACTGAGGGTTTTAGGGTTTTTCTTCGTTTTGTTTCCTTTCCTTGTTTTGCTTTAATTCCACTTTGGCCCCGGTATTTGTCTTTATTTATAAAACGATCCACATTTCTATTTTACTTCACTATTTTGCCCTTTATGTTATTTTTATCTCAATACTAGCAGTGGCGAATCCAGGATTTTGCTAAGGGTGTTCGAAATTAAATATAGTGAAAAATATAATTGTTGGCTAATAGTTTACGGGGGTTCAGGAGTAGCGCCCCCGGCCGGATTTTTTTTTTTAATACCGTACACATTAAATAATAAAAAATCTTTAAACTTTTTAAATTTAAAGGAATTATTTTACCATTTTTGGGCAAATTTAGGAAATATTTAGACATAAAATTGGTGAAACTATTAAACGAATGGTAAACATATTAAAGTTGTAAGTAACAAAATGTACATTTCATTAGCAGATTTTGAATTTTCAAAAAGGAAAAAAAAACCCCACATAGTTGTAAATTTAGAAAAAAAAAATTGAAATAATACATATATATACAATATTTAGAATTTTGGAATAATTTATATTATATTTAATATTAAAGAAATGGTAAATACATTAAAGTTACAAATAGCAAAATATATGTTATATTAGGAGATTTTTTTTTAGGGATAATTAGTGAAAACCCCCCAATTCATTTACTTATATTAAGGTGGATATAACATCCTTTTCATTATTAGTGAAAACCCCCCATCTTATATTAAATAATTTTTTTTAATTAATATTGTTTTTGATATTACTAATTTGCCCTATTATACCTAAAATAACCAAACATATTTCACGTTCTCTCTATTTTCTTATTCTTCTCTCTCTTTTCTCTCTACATATCGCCGCCTCCAACTCTCTTCCATCTGTGTTCTGCCACCGCCTCCAACCCTCTTCCGTCTCTGCGCCGCCATCGTTACTCTCTTCTCCCAACGGAGTTTCTCCCTCCACCAACGCGAAAAGAAGACGGTCTTCAACCCTGGGATTCTCTCGTCAAGGACGGCGTTAGGGTTTTCGCTAGGGAGAAAGACGAGATTATGCAGCGGCGCTAGGGTTGATATTGCGTCTGAGATTTCAATACAGACCACCGCCACATTGTTTCATTGTTGTTGTTGTTCTTCTTCGTCTCTGATTTTTTTTTTGGAACCCAATTCTCGAATCTTAATTTTCTTAATTAAAGTTTTTGGTTGAATTCTTATATAGAAGGCTAATTTTGTGTTCAATCAATAGTATAATGGATGTTTGTTTTTGTTGAAATTGTGTTGTGTTATTTACAGATTTATAGATATTTTCGTACATCAATATACTTGTTTTCGTACAGCAATATAGTTGTTTTCGTGCAGCAATATAGTTGTTTCCGTACAGCAATATAGTTGTTTTCGTGCAACAATATAGTTGTTTTTATTACTTTTTAGTTGAATGTAATAGTTGATTTAACAAATAGTTGATTTTGATAAAGGAGAGTTGCTGGAGATATATAGTTGTTTTAATCATATTGTTTTAATAACAGTTGTTTTAATAATAGTTGTTTTATTGAAATATAGTTGTTTTAACTGAAGATAAAAAAATATAGTAAAAAAATATAATAAAAAAGTTAAAAAAAAATATTTTTTTAAATATATTTTTTTTAAAATAAGAAATAAATAAAAAAACAAAAATTAAAATTAAAATACAAAAAAATAAAAAAATAAAAGTGTGTCAAAGTAGTGTATAATATGTAGTGAATAGAGGAAGGGTAAATTTGAGAATAAAAAAAGGATGGGTCTCTCACTAATAAAGGAAAAGGAGCTGGATCCATCCTCATTAAAATAACGCTAGAGGGAGTTCTCACTAATAGTCCCTTTTTTTTAAATATTAAAAAATACCCACATATTCAACATTTTTTAAAACAATTGAAATATTGTATGTAATGGGAAAATTGGGAATAAAAAAGAAAAAATGAATATTTTTTAAAACAATTGAAATATTGTATGTAATGGGATAATTAGGAATAAAAAAGAAAAAATAATAGAGAGGTTCGGACTCTCGATCTCAAACCCTGCAACCCTGCAGAATGCTATGAAGCACTTAACCAGTTCAGCTTAGCATTGCATTGGCCAAGTTTTACATTTGCATTTATATATTACCGAATATATAGGAAATATTTTTTTTTTAAATCAAGGGTGTGCAGTAGCACACCCTTGGACCACACTGGATACGTCACCGAATACTAGAGACTTGACGTGCATAATTGTCAAATACTCGATTGGTTTGATAATATTATTGGGGAATATTTTGTGTTTCAATTAATAGTATCTTGTATTTTAGTATATACAAGCAGTGGCGGATCCAGGATTTTTGCCAAGGGGGTTCGAAATTGTAGAGTAAAAATTTTAAATATCACTTTATAAAACTAGTGTATCAAAAATTTACGAGGTGAATTGTGGAAATATTTAATGAGAAAAAAGGTGAAAATGTTAAGATTTGGAAAAAAAATCAAAATAGTGGACCAAAAATTTACAATTTAAAAATTTTAAGTGAATTGTGGAAATATTTAATGAGAAAAAAGGTGAAAAATGTTATGATTTGGAAAAAAAAAAAAAATCAAAATAGTGGACCAAAAAGGTGAAAAATGTTAAGATTTGGAAAAAAAATCAAATATTGAAATGGTGGAGTTCGAACACGGGACCTGTTAATATGAGCAATGCCCTTACCACCTCAACCACTTACTTTTTATCTCAACTTACATATAATAGTACTATTTGTTTAAAATCCAAAGTGTGCAACTGCACACCCTAGACCATAGCTAGATCCGCCACTTTATACAAGTGTTGCATTAATTTTCTTCTTCCATTTTGTCCAAATTCAATAAATCCTTCTTCCATTTTGTCCAAATTCAAAGATTAATTCTCAGAAGTGAAGATAATAATCAATAAAAAGAGAATTAGTTGCAATGGTAATTTAGTATTGTTAATACATTTTTTCCCAGTAATCAATACATATAAATAGTTTTCTTAACACGTGTGTCAAAATTTTAAGCGACAATTATTTTTAGTCTAGTTTCGTAATTTTAAGAAAGCAATTGAACAATAAAAAAAAAAAAAAAAAAAAAAAGCGGGAGTAGTTAAGCCAATTGACATCCGTCATATAGTATACTCTCGATAAATTAATACTCAATTAATTAATAACTTTGATTAAATAATAAATTATAGATTGTATATGAAAATATCATGAGAATATTGTATACGGAAGTAAATATGACAATACGGTTTCATATATCATTCAGCATAGCTAAAATTAAGAATTCTTATTATTATTTTGACAAAGCAATATATTTGGAAAATCTCACACTAATCAGAAATAAGACAAGATAACATTACAAGCAAGTATGAGAGAAGCTCAAGCAGATCATTAAATTATGTAAATGCCAACTTAAAATTTCAGATTCAGAAACCCGTAAATGAAGTAAAGCACCTGAACTTGTATTAAGCAACAATAGCAACGAATAACAGGGAACTAACTCAACAGCAACAATAGCAACGAATAACAGGAAACTAACTCAGCACTCAACGGCAACAATACACAAAGTAATTTTTCTCATCAGTCGGTAATCGTGCGGCATTTCATATTTAATTTAGGGCTGTCTGTTAAGTGTATATTTTTACACTTTATCGTAACTTTTTATTTGAGCTTTTGGTGTGTTTTAACGATAATTGGTTCTTAAAAAGTTGATTTATTGTATTTTAGGTACAAATTGAAGAATTGGAAAAGTATGGGGTCAAAACTGCAATTTTGGCGAAAATATGGGTCAAAAGTGAAAATATCAAAATTCTGAAGAAACAAGGCTCGGACCCCGTCCCAGTTTTAGGGCAAATTATGGGACCCCCGTCCCATACCCCGAAGTTGCGCAGTAAAGGATTTTAATTGCACAAGGAAACTGCCTTCTTCCCCAAGTTCTTCACCCTATATAAGACCAAGCCAAGCACACAATTGGGGATCAATCTTGGGACGCAAATTCAAGAGCAAAGAAGATCAACGAAGATTCAAGCATAGTTTTTCTTATTTAATTTATTTATTTTATTTATCATAAGAATTACGAGTAGCTAAGTCTTTATTTCTAGGATTTTATTTGGAACCCTATGTGGGATTTATGAACCCAATTCTATGATTTTATGCAAGTTTTAATTCCGGTTTATTTCTTCTTCTTGTTTTATTAAGTTCATGAAACTGGCCACTTTATGCGCTTTTATGTTATTGTTAATCGCATGAATCGGAAGATCGGGTTAATAATTAGAACTGTGGTAGAAGAGCCTTTGTGGTATTAACATAGGAATATAGTTAATCTCTTAGGTAGCCATTATTGAGATTTGTGCTTAATGCTGTGTTCTAGAATTAATTGCATAGGAATATAGTAATTGAATCTAGAGTATTAGAACAAAAAAAAAAAAAAATTGCTTGAGTCGAATGCATCAATGATTTATGATGATGAGAGATGATCAATGTTTGAGGATGAAATTGCTTGTTTTATGTGATAAGGATTTGATGTTTGTTTAGCTTTCGATTCAACGGGACTTAGAAGCGAATTATTGCTAGGAATCACATTTTGTGCATTGCTTTTGTTGAATGTTTTGTATTTTAAATTTGGAATTAATTTGTGCTAGATCATGCTATGTTCGGTTTTAAATCTCACCTTAGGAAATTTATGATACGAAGTATTGAGTAGTGAGTGATTTGGGATATGATTTGGGCCTTCTTTGAACCGTTTGAGCCTTTCAAGCCGACCTTTTTATCGAAAAATTCCATAGAACCTTGATTTGAGCCTCGGAGAAAAGGTGTTCTTTCTTGTAGCCAATGTGTAAGGTAGAATAGGTGGAGATTCTTGAAAATTACCCCTTGGAGTTCGGTCGAAAATTTTTATAAGGTCCTTCTTCTTCTTCGGAAAAAAAAAAAAAAAAAGAAGACAAATATCTATGCTTCTATATATATATATATATATATAAAATAAAAAAAAAAGAAAA